TTAAATTCAGTGTCGTGTTCGTGCCAGTACGGCTTTGCGAATTTTCGAAAATAATAATAACATTTGTTAGCAATGAAATTTATTTATATACGTTTTAGGAACTTTTAACTTAATTAAGCCAAGTAATAAAATTTCCTTTGTAAGCTAAAATTAACCTTATTCAACATTGTTTGAGGCAGAGTATCTTTCACTATATTCTATGTCTCATTCATTCACAAATGTCAATTGCTACCATCAGGAAGAAAAGATCCTGTTTTAAAGAAGTTTAATCCTTCCTTAACTTTTTTTTAAACTGTATAGTAATAGAGCTAATTTCGTCGCAATAATTTCATTTATTTATGCTTTATCGCTAACCTTAAGAAAAAAAAGATCACAAAAGGGCGGACTTAATCCCCAAAGGCATTCTCTACCAGTCAACCCAGGATGTAGTGAAAGTTTATGGTAGGTGCAGCAAGGGATCTAAAACTTATTAAAATATTAACATAAAAGAAAACAAATTATGGTAAATAATTATAAATAACTAGAGAAAAAATTTCATTTTTGATTTATACAAAAGGTATAGATAAAAATATTTGTTTATATATAATTATAAGCGTGGTTAAAAAAAGAAAACATACTTCTACCTATAATAATGGCATGGATCTAATTAATGGTAGTCTTCAACAGATGTTCGCCAACCAGTCTATTGAAAGAGGCCTTATTTGTTGCATTTCTTACGTTATCGGGTAAGGAGTTCCGGAAATGTGTAGCTTTGATTGTGAAGGAGTTTCCACAGAACCCGGGAAGTGCGCGGGGATGCAAAGTTTATTGTTATAAGTAGAACGAAGTACACTATTATGAGATGAAGAGAGATAAATAAACCTATTTTTGAGATGAGAAGCGGAAGACCGGTCATTTAAGATGGTGAAAAACATGAGTAGAATTCTGGAATGCCGTCTTTGATGAACTGTGAGTCAATTGAGCCGAAAGCGATACTATATGATCATACTTTCGTAGACCGAAAATGTACCTGAGATAGTTATTAAGGAGGCGATCCAGTTTGTTTAAAAGATCTTGGGACAGGTCCGGGTAGCACACATCTGCATAATGGGTAATATCAGCGTTTGGATAAGCAAAATTTTTGACTTAAAAGGAAGAAAAATATTTTAAGCGATATAAAGATCATAGTGGCAGTAACTTTACGACTTATCTCAATTACTTGTATACAACTTACTCAACAGTTCAAGGTATTGTCGATTAACAAACCTAGATTTTTTATCACGTTAGTAAATGGAATTATAATGTTGTGAAATCGAGGGATTAACCGAAACTCCATGATTTGTAGACCAATTCCAAATATTGTCTAGATTTTCGCTTATTTTTACTATTGCGCCGTGAAGGTCGTCAATACCAGCTTGCACATATAACTAGAGGTTGTCGGCATACAAATGGTACGAATAATTAATAATAGTTGTAAGAAAATTGCTAAAAATAGAGAACATTATGGGAGAAAGTGTACCGCCCTGCGGTTCGCCAGCCTCGACATCAGCCCAAGCTGAGCTTTTCTGGTAACTGATTGCTGATCATCGACAATAGGTAGTTTCAAGTCTCAATCATGAACAGTTTCTTTTTTACCAATCTAGATCAGTTGTTCTCATCGAAGACTGGCGTGAAATGGAAGAAGGAACCGGGTACCACTTTCAATAGTTAATAACACACCTGCGGTTCCACAGATGTCGTGGACGCCGGTGAGTGGCGATAATCACTTAAAATAATAAAAAATACAGGACAATATTGGTTTAAGAATGAACAAAGCAGGAGAGGTGTAAAATGATTGCAAAAGCCTGATCGAAAACTAACAGGCTTCGATTTAGCATTAGGCGCGGTTAAAACTTATGTTTTATGTAAAAATTTGGCATGTGAAGGAGCAAGTAATTCAGTTACCTGATGTTAAGTGACTACGAGGCCCGTGGAAATCTACATCAACTAATGACTGGGTTGCAGATGCGACGCCAACCTATTTAAAAATGGGCCCGATTACCTATATGAAGCCGCGGTACTTCCCCGGACGAGCCTGACCATTCATGCAACAGCAGAGAATTAAATGTGAATTCACACAGTGAATGAACAAAAATCTCCCGGTTGATAACTTTTAGAAGCGAAATGGTAGTGTTAGAGACGTATAATTTTACGTGTTAAGTATGTGTTGAATATTGCGTCGTCAACATTTTATTATCGTATCTCATAGCATATCTACTTATGTACATATGTAATTACTCTTCTGTTATCTATAATTTACAATAAATTCCTCGATTAATTACCAACGTCAATTTCCTGGTTGTGGTGAAATCGAGAATGAATTTGATTGATATTTGAACGAACAAACATAAAACAATCCCAAAAACCATTATTTTTGTTAATATGTCCGTTAAGTAAGTAGTATATGAATAGTAAATAGCAAGTGTGTGTTAATTTATTAATTGATACCCCTTGATTCGCATCCAGAGGTTTTTGGCTATAATCCTAGATCACGTCCATGAGTTGTGTTGAGATTTCTCATAAAACACCACATATGGTTCATCGAGTTAATGAACTTAGCTTATCACCTCGGGACTTAGCAAACACTGTTAACTGTATTGGATAATAGCTATTTTTTAAATGGAGTCTTCCTCAAAACATACGTTATACTATTTGGTAAAAAAACTTTGAAAAGTTTCAAAAGAACGCTCAAAAGAGTCAAAATAAAAAAGGGCCGCGGCGGGATTCGAACCCACGTCTTCCAGATTCAATCCCGGGCCGTTAAACCACTAAGCTAAGCAGCTGATTACCAAATTAAAAGAAAGTTCTTAACATCTTTTAACTACATTATTTTTTCATATAGCAATTTCGTCCTATTTTCTACACATTTTAATGTGTCACCTTAAGAGCAGAGATTAGCACTAAAAAATTTAATATGTTACATTGATGACGTGATAACGTATTGTTGTGTCCTCGTCAACAATCTGTAATGATATTGTTTTTAGCTTGTCCATAGGTGTAACATTATGCAATCACATAACGCCTCTTTCATTGCATTTACATTTCCAACGTCAAAAATTTTAATTCAAACATCTTACACATTACGTTACACGTCAGGGGCAATGACGTGATGTGAGCGGGTTGTTTATATTACGCACTCAAGCGTGTGATGGACGCAGCGAATTGGCAAGCAGGCATTTGTTTATCTCATTAGATACTGTGGAAGAAACGAACGGCGTAGTCACCTCGATGCCTACAGGATAATACGCCGGAGCTACTTGATAATTGTTACAAAATAAAAATTAAATTAAGTATTTAATTTAATAAGATTCTTGAGTAATAACTAAGGCACATCATAAAAATGTCACTCAATTATTGAACTCAGCGAGCGCCCGGACACCGAGCTATTACGGCCACACGGCGCGCGGACGGAATTAAAGAACGTAAGTACAGCAAGACCTCGTATTCCGTTCTACATCTAATTTCTGATGCACTGTTAACGTGCACGGCTTGGAAGTAAATTGGATTAGCCAGCAAAACGTAAAAGATTTCATCGAATATAACGTAACGAGATATCGCATCCGTGCTGTCCTCCTTGACAACTTCTTGGTAACTTAATTCATTCCTTCCCTGCGGACAACAAAGCCTCTACGTCGTCATTTAGAAGAATTACACCTCCAGCCAGAGTTTGGTAGGTCTCGAGGCCACTGCAATGCATTCCGTGTTACCATTGCACGAGATGCGTTTTTACTGGGCATTTTAAATTTTATGGAGTTGTTTATTTCTTCATTTTTTTTTTACAGAAAGCACGGGACTTACGAAAAGTGGAAAGAATACCATTTTTTAAATTACTTCCAATTTTATAAGTTGTTAACATATGTTTTTGGAACATTGTGACTGCTTTTGTTTACATTACTCGATCAAAGAGGACGACACACCACTAAATGTAGTGTTGCACCTGTGCAAACGTGCGGGAAGTCGATGGATGCAGGTAGCTCAGGATCGTGCCTCGTGGCATTCTGTGGGGGTGCGTGTCTTTACAAAAAAAAACTTTCACTAACTTATGTTAGTGAAAGTTATGCAAAATAGCTATAGACAGAAACAACGGAAGACGCCCTACAAAAGACAGCCAGGTGGCCTAAGCCTATAGTTCGTGCAATTATAAAGTACTGATCGGCGACTACATCTTCAGTAATTGAGAATGCACAAGTTGTAATCTCAGTCTTTTTTTAACATGAATATTCATTCAGTACTAGTACATATTAATATTCATCATCGCACATTAAATATTCATAAAACAAACTCCTTTCGCCAATCATAGACAAAAATTGCCCATCATTCACTATCCTTTTCAACGTCGACGATCCGAATGGCGTAGTGGGTAGTGTACCTGCCTTCTGCGCCAGAGGGTGTCGGTTCGATCCCCACTACTGGAAAAATATTGTGTGATGAACATGGTGTTTTTCCAGTGTTTGGGTGTTTATATATTTATAATATGTATTTATTTACAAAAGAAAAGAAAGTATGTTTAAGTATGTTTATCAGTTATCTAGTACCCATAGTACAAGCGTTGCTTAGTTTGGGACTAGAGAACGTCGAGTAATAATAAAATATTTATATATTTATATTGTTTCCTCTAACCTGCCTTAGGTTTACTCCCACGTATAAATTCTCGTCGGGAGCTCGTATTGATTACACTGCTCTATTCGTTTCATGGAGGTCGCCTATGGCGTACTAGTGGCAACAAAAAAAGTTTGTTTTGATTCCCTTAAAGTAAATAGTTCGCTTTATTATGGTTTGGGTGATGAGAATGATGCTAGAACAAGTTTAATCTGTTCGAATATTTTATTAAATACATTAAAAGATAAGATAGGGACATCAGATAATCAAGCAATTTAATGAGTAAAGTAATATAAATTTAATTACTAAACCAATTCATAATGAGGTATTTCGATAATTACATGATATTAAAATAAAAATTCATGTTACCATAATCTCAATTAATATTTAATTGGATTTTGATAAATTGAACGCCGTTTAACAACGTCGTCTTTCATATTGCTCCTAATTGCGGCCGTCTTGTAATCGGCTACTTGTATTACGGAACTCTTGGACAGTTTACGCTTCTCCTTGGATCTCTCACCAGCACATGATAACTTCCACTTGACCGAGTCGCAAAACACCCTGAACGTCAGGAACAGTGCAAAGTCGAAACCGGATATAAGCGTGAATCCAATCATCAGGCTGAGTAATCCCCCAAACGCCGCTGGAAATCGCAACCATCCTAAGTACGATCTATAGGAATTATCCATTACGATCTCCAGTTTAGCTTTTCACTGATAAGTCAGAAATGTGTTTATCGGCGAATTACATGACAAAATCTGATCGATTCTATACACACGTGTATCGATATAAAATTTTCACACTCTATAATTATGAAGTATTACGTGCCATAACAAAAATAAGGACTGTCTAAGGACTGTGGACCACGTGCCAAAGTCATCACACATATTCCTTCGATTCCATAATTACTATTCACGTGCAAAAATTCTTAAGTCTAACATCGAAATTTTATATTTACAAAACCGTAACCAGAAACGTACCGAGAACATTCTGCCAGTTCAAGTACACATCTCGGCGATATCTAGTTGACACGAGGTCGTTAAAGAACACGTTGAGAACGGAGTGATTATACAAATTCACGTTAGCGCTGTAAAGAATATAAATGAATTATTGTAGAGACGTTTTCAATCTCCATTCATGATCGACTGCTTTAACCAACCTTTTAAGCTCCATTTCTTTTTTTAAATCATAAAATAAATTTTGTTACCGAGGATAATTAAAACAAATGAATTGACTATTGCATATATGGTCTGAAAGAAATATTTAACAAACGTTCCAAGACCCGTTTAAAATGTAAAACGTAAAAATTTAAGTTTAACCTTTGTCTATATTTGGACACAACCCCGTCGGATATATTGGTAATGTAGTATGGTATCGCAAACGAAAGCAGATAAGTGCAACTGTATTGTTTTTAGCAACATTAATAATAAGTCATCCATTAGTGAAATAAATGGTTTATTAAATAATGTATATCTTTACACTGAATTAATTGGAAACTTCAAAAATTGTCGACTCCCTCTTACGTCCGAGTCTTTCGGATATCGCACCCAGACGCTATAGATAAATGAACTTAGCCGTCGGTTAGTGGGTAGTCTGTGCGCATTACTCGAAAGACGCGGGTTCGAATTCGGAAAGCGTGATAAAATTATCGCTTATTTAACCTATTTTCGTCTGGAGAACCAAATAACGCAAAGAATAAAAGTAATAGTAAATAAAAGTAAATAATTATATTAATAATTCTCTCATAGGGGCATGAAAGAAGAAAACATTTAGGGCTTGGGAAACGGTTGTAGGGCCACGCAGCAGCCTCGGCTGTTGCACGAATGGGCAGGCCCGTCCGGGTAAGTACCACGACCTCACAGAAGACCAGCCTAAAGTGGAAGTATGACAAATACTTTCGCGTTTCGTCTGGTGAGTGAGGTGGCCGGAGTCCAATTTTCAAAAGGTTGTCAACACATCTGTAACACTCGGGTGTAGCAGATGTCCATGGGTGGCGGTATTCACTTACCATCAGGTGACCCGTCCGCTCGTTTGGCAACTTTTCGCATAAAAAAAAGTACTTATTTATGAACTTAAATGTTTAGACCGATAATTACATTAAATAACAAATAAAGATACATGTATATATAGATAAACTATACTAAAGTCTTCGCAACAGATAGCAATTCGAATATGAAATCCATTATACAAAGCCAAAAATGTAGAGGGCTTTTAGATTAAGTTAAAAATCAAGACGATATATTTTCGATACCAATCCGGTATTTGTACGATTCCCAATCAGTGCCGGCCTAGCTTGAACAGGGTACAGCGAGATCGTCTTTCAGCGGCCTATTACTCCGCCGCTCTCACTAAAATTGTGATTTCGCCTTATGTTATATAAATAGTTACCATTTTATTAATCAATTTAGCGCAAACATCAACACTTATGGAACTTAAATTAAATCAAATACATGTAGTTATTATAACCCTGCTTCTTCAACATTAGGAAAGTTTTGTATGCTGTGTAACAAAATTGATCTTTTGTGTTCATTATATGTAGATATTGTAATAAATAATTAAAGAGAAACACAATTTTATTTGAATTATTATATAATCTCAATTCAAATAAAAATAAATAGCTCTTATTATTACACTCTTGTTTCTTCATCATTAACAACGCTCGTACTAACATAAATTAGTATCTGTTGCTATTTTGCATAAGTCACTAAATAATAAAATCTTTTTCCTATTAAACTAAAACCGCCCCGCGTCATTTAAAAGGTGCAATCAATATTGTATTTTATGTGAAAATAGTTTTTTGCCCTCTGTTCCCAAGCGCCAAGAGCGGTCTTATTCTATAGCCGGCCAAAGCTAACCAAGCTTGGGCTGGCGCCGGTCCCGATGTATAATAGTATATTATAACTGGAAGATTTTGTTAATGTGGCAGGTAAACCACCTTCCATCATAATTTTGACGACTGTTATAATCTCTTATCACTTATCAAATTCTATTTCAATCTCAATAGTTCGACAGTTGGTCTATAAGTAAAGGAAAATGTCTAATGTTTTAATAAAATCTAAATGTTTTAATTTGTAACACATAATTATGTCCAGATATAATCTTTTTAAAAATCTATGACTTTTGACTTTTCAAAAAGTATGAAAGGACATTTTGAACAATACATTTAAACTAGCGCATACCAAAAACTAGATTATGAAGGACTCCAAATAAGAATAAACTTCGGTACACTGATGTACGAAAAAACATCGTGATTGAAAAATCTGACTTGAAAAAAAAAAAAAAGAAATACTCTACTACCACAGTATTTCTTTCAATAGCTCTACAGCTATTGAATGCAGCTGTACGATATAGAGATCGGATACGAGATAGGATTTAGGTAAATTGAATAAAGTGGTTTATGTCTTACACAGCTATACAGATAATAAACTGCTCACTGCATTAGAAAACAAATTAACATTTTCACTGTCGAAAAACACCACAGACTAGTAAATATCTCATTCGCTAAAAATGTTCTATTTGATTTTAACGAGTCCCCTGATGTAGCTTCCGAGTTCAAGGTAATCCTGTACCAACGAAATTATAGAATCGCTTCCTTTATTGAAGTCGGATGACAAAGGGCCTGCTTTGCAATATGTGTTAGCGAATATTTTCATGTTAAGTAAGGTGATGAAAGAAATTGAAATAATTTGATTTTGTTAAAGGTACATTAACACATACTTCATATCCGAAAATACATGAGCTTATTTCGTCTATGCTACAAAAGTAACTTCCTACTTCCATACTCTTTGCACAAGTAAATACGTCATTTGTCTGAAAACTGAAATTTTATTCCATAACAAAAAACGAGGGGAACGGTTTTGACTTATGCCGATCAAAGCTTTAAATTAACAGACGTTTTGCCGACGGCGCTTTGGAAAAATTTAATTTCAAACATCACATGCAGACCGTTACTTGTTGATACACTGGTTACGAAAAAAATGCATGGAAAATATTATCGAAACGCTGACTTATCAGGTGCTCAGTGCAAAGGTAAATACCATGAGGAAAGGAGCATAATTTCGAAGTGATTAATATCACAGAAATAATATTCAGTCTGCCGAGCCTGCGTATTGAACTACGTAGAGCATAGCAGAGCAAAGCATGCAGGAGCCCAATTTATCTTATAAATATTATTTATTTCTTTTAACTCTACCTGTGAAATTGCCGTTTGATACAAAATAAGTTAGTGGTGTTTTTCCAAACTTTTAATTTCTGTTATTCCAAGTAATCACCCTTGCAATTGATGCATCTTTTGATGCAGTGGTAGTTTATTTATGGCCTTCTTGTAAAAATCAGCTGGACGGGAGGCAACAAACTCTTCAAAGCCTCTCGGGAAATAAATTTGTTTTCTCCCTAAAAAGCTGTCCAAATTTTGGAGAAAGTAATAGTCGGTAAATACAAGGAGTATGACGGATGAAGGAGGGCCTACGAACCCATCTGTTGCAGCTTGGAGACTGTCTGTTGTGCAGTATGGGGACGCGCGATGTCGTGAAGAAACAGCGCGGACGACCGACTGACCAAAGCTGGTTACAGATGTAAGAGCTTTTTCATCATTGTTAAAATACTTACGTAAATGACAATCCATTGAATGTTAAACCGGTGGCGAGATTTCCTTGAGCCGTTTCCAATGGATAGTCGTAATGTTCACACTCCGGTAAACACTGCACATTTTCCTCAGAAAAAGAATTAGGCATCTGCTCCACTTCTTTGGGCTCTGAAATTGTCGGAAACGATAAAAATCTACATTATTGTTTTTAATGCACAACAATAAAAGTTAGATTTTATCTTCACTCAATGTATAAACCAAGACGTCCCGTAACTTCAATTACACGATATATATATATGCATATAATTGAACCCATCACCTATTTATAATTTATTAATTCTCCGTAAATTTAATTCAATATGAGAAAGAAGTTGTTAAAATATGGCCTGTATTTTAGCTAAAGCAGGCTACTTAAGTAATAAAAATAAAATTGTCTTCAAAGAAATTAAAAACTACTTGAAACATAAGAAATTCACAAATATAACTTAAAACTACTAGATATTGGCAACACTGTCCAGCAAAGGCAGTTACATATATGGATAAATATGGTTAATACATAAATAAAAAAATATATAAAGAATTGATAATTAAAAAAAAAAAGAAAAATTAGACAAGACCGCATAGTTTCTTGCCGGTTCTTCACTACACAGATCTAGTTTATTGAACCGGTGTCGGTTTTTCAATGTTCAATAAGAGCCCAAAATAAGCCTATATTGAATAGAAATATTTCGACTCGGTAATAATGATCTGTTAGTGGTTGGCGCTCCGGTCTGAAAAGAAATTTAAAACTTTTACAAATTTCATTGACATTTGCAACGTAGCCGCCCGTAGGGTTATTAAAAAAGTGGGTCCCGGCTACCTCACTGCCCGGATGAAACGTAGTATAAGACTTACACTTCACGCCGGCCTTTTGTAAGGGTCGTGACATTTAACCGCACGGACCATTTAACCTGCCCATTCGTTCACCAGCGAAGACGTGGCGTGGCCCTACCGCAGTCAAAATATTGTTTTTGTTGCCACAAAATAAAATAAAAGTTGCCTGAAAAAGCTTCAAAACAACACTTTTCTATATCCTCGTATAAAATATTCGTAATAATACTTAAAAGTCAATTTGAACTTTAATACCATAGCATAAAGTTTAAGTGTTAGTGGAGGGGTTCCGGGAAGGCAAAACAAGTGAGTGATTGTGGTAAAATGTCACTTGAAATGTAAATTTGCTGTGCATCACTACATAGTATAAAACAAAGTCGTCACGCTGTCTGTCCCTATGTATACTTAGATCTTTAAAGGTACACAACGGATCTTGATGCGGTTTTTTTTACTAGTACTAGATAGAGTGATTCAAGAGGAAGGTTCATTTATGTATAATACATTGAACCCGTGCGAAGCCGGGGCGGGTCGCTAGTAATCAATAAAAGTATATATTTAACTGTATTTGTATTTGGACATTTTGAAAGTGACGGAATTGTATTATTATAAAATAAAATCTAAAACAAGACAAGTTTTAATAACAAACAGCAAATGGCGTAGTGTGAGACAACGAAAATAAGTAACGTTTGCACAAAAGAAAACGTGAAAAAAATTTTCTATTACAATAATAGCACAAATCAGACATTAAACGGACAAAAAGTTCTGTGTATATAACATGTATTTGACTGAGCAGTTTTATGTCAGTGGCGGTCGATGAAGGCGAGTAAATGAACTTTACGCTGTGACCTACGCTGGGAAACCAATTTTTATTTTTTTATTTCATGGCCTCTATGCTGTTTGCTTGCGTCGCTAACTGAACACATTTCTATTATTATACCGTTTTTTTTAGACATGGGTTTTCAAAGGGATTTTTCGCAGATACATCGAGAGATACTTAAGCGAAACGAATGAATTAACGCAGTCTGGTGTAAGGAGCTTATGACGCGAAACGGGAAGGAAAAGTCGAGAAGCAGCCAATATACGCACGTAGTTCCGTTGGTTTTGCGTGTTGTGGGTTTAGTCTCCCACGTGGGCATAAATTTACGTGGTTTATCAAATAATGACCCTGAATGTACCTGATGGTTGGGCCACGCAGCAGCCTCGACTGTTACACGAATGGGCAGGCCCGTCCGGGTAAGCACCACGACCTCACGGAAGACCAGCGTAAAGTGGAAGAGTGACAAATACTTTCTTTCGCGTTTCGTTTGGTGAGTGTGGTGGCCGGAGCCCAATTTCCAAAATGTTGTCAACACATCAGTAACCCTCGAGTGTACCAGATGTCCATGGGCGGCGGTATTCACTCAACATCAGGTGAACCGTCTGCTCGTTTGGCAACTTTTCGCATAAAAAAATCTACGTTATTGTCATACGCCGATTTCAATAGTGTCGTTTAAATCGTTTAAAAAATTTAGGTGCATTTAAAGATGGCTGGTGGGATAAGTTATGCATGCATTTATAATGACTGGCAATGGTAATTAAGGTAATTTACTTAAAACTTCCTCTAAACACTCCATGTCTCGAAAATTGCACACGTGACTTAAATCTGTAACAGAAAACATAAATTAACGCATTGAATACGCTATTAATTATTCTTAATATCATTTGGCCACTACAGGTAAACCCCTTAATGATTTTCTAAATGCGCTTTGATGATGATTGTTTCGATGGTATGACACCATCTCTGTAATTGTTTTCATATTATTGCTAAGTGAGTTTGAGTACGTATGCGTATGTGCGCTTCTGTGTGTGTGTGTCTTCGACATAAAAAAAATTACCTCTGTTTCGCATAGGGAAATAGTACGGTACGCAATTGCATGATTTTTGAATGACATCAATATTTTGATAGGCTATGCAGTTATGAAACGAGTATTGGCGGAAATCACCAATTTTTACCTGCAAAAAAGAAACTCTTGAACAGTTTATATTTAAATAACTAATTCAAAAATTAAATCTACAATAAACTATGTCCCCCTTTCCGTCAGAAGGAATAGCCTAGTACTAAACCACGCAAAATGTGAACATGAAACGAACCACAGAAACCATGGAATGAACCAACACTTAAAAATGTAAACGTAGGTCATATATATAAACAGCGTGTTGTTACAACCGCGACAATAAATGAACACAAGTCTAACGTTACTTGCCAATAATTATATAAAAATACAAAATTAAAAAAATCCATTATTAAAAAATAATAATTTTCAAACAAATTGAAATGAACTGATGTTTATTATTGATGATCTTAAAACTTGTAGAAAAAGTACGAAAAGACTGTCGCCGCTGTGGGAATCGAACCCACGTCTTCGGCATTAAGCTAAACGGCTGATTGCCACACCGACGAAAATCTTAACGTCCTTTATCTACATTATTATTTAGCATTTGAAGCAATGCTTGGCGTATCTATTGTTATATCCTTTCCAGCATACAAACAATTCGAATATCGTTTTACAATGATAACTTCGAACGAGAGATGTCGCCATTGCTTTTTAGAAATTTAAAGTTTTTTATAGTACTAATCTCTGCACTTAAGATTAAACATTAAAACTTGTAGAAAAAGTACGAAAAGACTGTCGCCGCTGTGGGAATCGAACCCACGTCTTCGGCATTCGCGGCCTGACGCTTTAGCCACTAAGATAAACGGCTGATTGCCACACCGACGGAAATATTAACGTCCTTTATCTACATTGTTATTTAGCATTTGAAGCAATGCTTGGCGTATCTATTGTTATATCCTTTCCAGCATACAAACAATTTCGAATATCGTTTTACAACGATAACTTCGAACGAGAGATGTCGCCATTGCTTTTTAGAAATTTAAAGTTTTTTTACAGTACTAATCTCTGCACTTAAGATTAAACATTAAAACTTGTAGAAAGTACGAAAAGACTGTCGCCGCTGTGGGAATCGAACCCACGTCTTCGGCATTCGCGGCCTGACGCTTTAGCCACTAAGATAAACGGCTGATTGCCACACCGACGGAAATATTAACGTCCTTTATCTACATTGTTATTTAGCATTTGAAGCAATGCTTGGCGCATCTATTGTTATAACCTTTCCAGCATACAAACAATTTCGAATATAAAATAACTCGATGATGTGTATTAAAATGAACGTCAGATATTTGACATTTAAACAATTTGAAGTCAACGCTCGGCAGTGCGATCGGATCGAAGGCGATAATTGGACGCTGGCGCTTTCGGACGTGGAACGTAGGAACAATTATTAAAGCAAAAGTTATAGGGAGATGCTCATTAAATGCGTGTAAATTAACTAAATTGTTTTCACCTATTTTAAAACGATAAAGATTAATCTGTGACGCAAGTTACACTGATTTACGGGTTTGCGTCACTTGCCTTTTGATTAAGCATTGTTTGTGTGATTTTTTGTCGGAATCACGCAATCGGTCGTTGTCGATTGTGGGTTTATAAATCCTCAAGATTAGCGTACTCAAGATTAAACATTTATTTATTTGCCTTCTTATTATGTAATGAATTACTAATAACGGTGACTTGCATGCATCAACTAAATAAGATTTTGCCACATCTATGCTAGGGAAATGCTATGAAAACTGATACTCTTTTGTTATCATATATGACCGACTCCGCGAGAGATCATGTCTACTTATTAAATTTTTTTAAGTTTATTTTTAAACGGAGTTTTTTTAATTATTATATCCTTTTCCAATTAATACTTAACCGTCGTGAGTTCTTTCAAAATTTTTAATTTGGCTTTTTATAACACGTCACGTCCCTTTTACAACAATGAACATTGTACATTTATATGTATAACTATGAGCAATCCATACCTTATCACGTTTCAGGAATAATTAAATACACATACATTTTAAAATTCGTGAATATTAATTATCACATGGAATACATTAAGAGAGTTAATTCTATGATAAACAAATTCACAGGAATAATGCATGGGCTATATCAGAGCACATGCATTGGCCATTGAAGTGGAAGAATTGAATGCGAAGGAACAAAGAACTATTTCAGGTACCTACGTTTTGATTAAAGAAAATTCCCAATGGATCATCACTTTCTGACTTTTCTCTGATGTAATAGGATAAGTAAGTAATACCTACTTACATTCATTTGTATGTATATATATATATACTTATATTTATGGTATAATTGGATTATTACTAATATAAATAATACAAAAACCATCGAGAAAAAAAGGTAAACATCAAAGCAAAGAAGACACCCCCTCACCCCCTCCCCAAACCTTTCTACCGAAGGCATTAATATTAGAAATGAGACTAAGGAAATATCGTAAATGAAATAATACGAGAAATGGAACAGTCACCAGTAACAGTTATGGTGCTTTGAATATCTTTGGAAAACAATTTCTACTGCATACAGCGACTTAAGGTTGATAAAAGTAATTTAAAATAATTACCTCGTCGTGGTAGTAGCATTGCCTCTCTTTTGTAGTAAAGGATTTAACCCCTTGTGTTGTGTACGTGCGTTCGGGAGACATAGCTACGAGGAGCTCCGTTGAGGGATTGATCAAACGAAACGGAGAGTTCATATCAGGTATGTTGTTAGCGTTGTCTATCAATACCTGTGAAAACATGTTACTAATTACTACACAAACCAATTGTTAAACCAGATCATTTTACTTGGAATTAATGCAGGCAGAATTAATCCTGTACACACTACTTAAATCCGACGACTTACAATATATATATATAAATAAAATAACATTGCCAGGAGGAATACTCCTCTTAGTAATTACCATATCTTATTTTCATCTAACTAATCCGGACGAGTCAAAAAGAAAGCCCTGTTTAAGACGTACTTAGGTACTTGTGTAATAGCCATTTTGAGCTATTCCAGTCCCTACCGCCTTTTGTTTTTCCGACACACGGGCAAACACGCACGTACGGGAGCATTTCTTCACATCAAAAAAGTAAACGTTTTGTTTTATGGTGGGTTAGGCCGCCCATATAGCTCGTAGAACCGATAGAGTGATTCGCGAGGAACGTTTTTTTGTATAATATACATTGCACCCGTGCGAAACCGTTTAGGGTTTAACCGTTACAGGTTTATTAAAATAAATAAGTAATATATAAATAAGTAACATGTACTTACATAAAGAAAGAAAGATAGGTTCATTTGTTAAAACAAAAGTATCTTTCTTTCTTTATATAGCTCTTAAAAGCTAAGAAAATTTTGAGATTATAATCTGGAATTGGATGCCGGAACATCTGTAATTCTACGGAATTATTATTTTAAATCAATCTTAATTATATTTTCCAACGACAAATTTCTCAATTTTAATGTCACCATTGCATGATTCGCGTCGGATTGAATTAAGGTGCGGTATGGCCGAGCCAGATTGAATGAGCGTGATATTTTAAGATAAATTCGCTCGGAACTAGATCCTATTTTGTGTGCGAAAGGGGAATGTGTTTAGAATTAATCCAGTGGTGAAAATCCCGTTGCACGAATAGATTCAGAAACGCATTCAATTACCAACCAAGCTTGATCATTTGAGCATTCCATGGCTATATAAAAAGATGATTTTAATCTGTTTCATGTGAATATCGACCTAGCATTTTTACTACTGTAAATGTGAAAAAAAAGAACAAACTAATATTTATAACCTAAAAACCTTCGATGACTCTGCGACGCAGGTGCCAAAGTATTCGCTGTCAAGGTCTGTCTGTCTTTCTGTCCGTCTGTCCGTCTGTCCGTCTGTACGTCCGTCCGTCCGCCTTTTTATAGATAAGGGTACGGAACCCTTCGTGCGCGAGTCCAACTCGCACTTGACCGGTTTTTTTTTTTTAATGGGTGGTCTCTGACACCACTGGGTATCAAATTTGGAAAAAAGCTAATCCTGATCAGGATAATGGGAAAAACTATTTAAATTATTGCATTGTCATGGGTCTTTGACGAGTTTTTGCAAAGTTTTTCAAAAAATTCAAATCTGATCGTTCACAGTGGAGCGAAATCACGTTTAAAGATCCATTTAACATTCATACTGGTTTAACTATATAAGCGTAATAAATTTCCCGCAATTAGATAGTACCGATAATTGCAATTTTTTAGATTTGAATGTCGTGTTGTGTATGAAACAAATCAACAATCACTCCAAAAAACGAGTCCAATTTTAGCAGCGGTTAGAGATTTCAATATTTCTTATCATAAATACATTTACAACGCTTTAAATATAACAGATAATTATATTACTCATGCTTTCAGTCACCAAGGATAATAAAAAGTTGGCTTATACATTCATAAGTCAATTAATTGTTTTCAATGTAAACCGACTTATGCTGACTGAGTGGAGCACAATTTCTTTACTGCCTAGTCTGCACAACCAACTCAGATACGAAAAAGTGAGCAAATTTAGTCACCAATGTTTTACCTTAGTCGAATAAATGTGCGAGACCCATGGACTTTTTTTAGACATTCCGCTTCGTGGTTCCACACGGAACAGACGTTACTCTGAGCCGGAGGGCCCATGCCAGCCGACCCGGAAGCCATCTTGCAACCGTTGTTGCTGATATTATTTCTTTTATCTCTTGGTGTGCACTGCTTGCCTCATCGTTGTCATGTTTCGCGGTCTACGGTTAAGGAAGTCTCAAGCAAGAAGATAGAAGAAAAGTTATAGAATAACGAAGAAACGTTACAGAAGAAAGAAGAAACTTTGCCCGACTTCCGAGCGGATAGTGTTAGTGTAGTGCGAGTTTATACTCGCCTCCGGTTACCTCAGGATGATGCCGAGCCCCTGGATGCGGGAGAGGTGCGGGAGCAGGAGCGTACACGGGGGTTGGAGCTCTGGCGCGAGCGCTTGGGAGAAGCTCGGAACTTGCGCCAACGAATCGTCACTGCGTTCCTGCCCAGCTTCGAAGCCTGGCTAAGTGCGAGGGGATTCGCGCACGTCACATTCCGGTTGACGCAGGTGCTCACCTGGCACGGATGCTTTGATGAGTACCTAAATAGAATTGGACGCGAACCGACAACGCAATGCCACCATTGTGGTGGGGACCGGGACTCCGCGCAACACACTCCTGCAGAGTGCCCCGCTTGGGAGTCAGAACGTCGGATCCTGGTCCAAAAGATCGGGCAGGACCTTTCTCCACCAGTTGCAGTGGCGGCTGCACTGATGGAGAAATCTGCTTGGACGGCACTGGTCTCCTTCTGCGAAGCAGTCATGCTCCAGAAGGAGATCGCTGAGCGGGAACGGGAGAGGGCCGACCCCGCTCGGAGACGAAGGCGCGCGGGTGGTAGAAACGGACGAGCCGCTCCGTCAGCCCTGTAGTCCCGGGCTTATAGAATAGGGCTAAGGTATCCCCTGTCTGTCGTAAAAGGCGACTAAAAGGGGATGGGCAGCAGCACGAAGTGTTCTCGTGTTGCTGTAAGAGGATGAGGGGATTGGAGAAGGTTTATCCTTCTCCGAGGCGTGCTTAGGCGTAGTACCGAGGGACACCGGTGCGTTCCATGGGAGATCCCGGAGTCCCTCCAAATGTACAGAAGGTGGCCACCGACGGGTTTTTAGTGGGTAAGAACCCCACATAACCCTGTCATGTAAAGTGACAGGGTATCTTTTGAAGATTTCCCCCCCGATACCAAAAAAAAAAGTGTTAGTGTAGTGTTGTGCTCGTAGGCAGGTTCCTGTCCGTAAGTAGAATTCTACACACATTTCTCGTCTCAGAGGCGGCATTGTAATTTTTATCTGTGTGCTTGTTGCATTAGGCGACAGCTAGCTACTCACCCTAGCGGATCTAAAGCGCAGGCGATTAAACGTTAATTTTAGGCACACACTTCCCTGCCGCAAAGTGGGGAGGCCTATTTAGAAAACACACGCCGGCGGGGCGCAAGCCCCAAAGGCTCAAGCGTCGTCATGGGTTCCCTCTTAGAGGAGTTCCTGCGGGAGGAATGCCCCGAAATATGGGCAAAATTCCTCAATTTCGCGAGGGAACGGCGCGTAGCCGTCGAATTCTCTAGCGACAGTCCGGCTTCACCGGCAGTCGCCTCGCCGCCATCTCCGGTGCCCTCTGCGCCAGTTATTGTGTCGCCCTCTGCGACAATCGAAACGCCGTCGCGTCGACGTCCACCGCCGCGATGTAACCTAACGCGCCTTCCGCGCAATCAATTTCGGCCCCCTTCCGCGCTGTCGTTCCCGACTCTCAATCGGACGGCGGCTCAGACATGGAGGTCGAAACGACCCCCGCTAACAACGCGAACGCCGACGGCTTCACCGTCGTCAAATCGCGCAAAAAGGGCAAAAAACGCCCCGCTACTGACAGCGACCCCGAAAACGAGGCCGCCCCGTCAAACCGTCCCACCGGGACCCCCGCCAAAAAGGCAGCCGCGACTGCCCAGTCGGAACCGACATTCGCCTCCGAGCGAAAAATCAAGCCACCGCCGCCAATTATAATTCAAGAAAAGGCAAAGTGGCACCAGATATGTTCATGGTTCGAACGCCATAACATTCGAGACCCCCGGTCCAAGAATACACATATGGGTATCCGCGTATACCTCGATTCTACGGACGATTTCCGCCGCGTGACGAAATACTTACGCGAAGCTAAGGTAGGTTTCCACACCTACTCACTGCCCGAAGAGCGAAAATAGGGCCCTTAATTAAGGGCGTCTCGAAAGTGTCGGATGTCGATAAGGCTAAGGTCGACTTCCGCACTCAGGGATTCCCTGTACACGCCGTACGTCGGCTCAGACACCCTCGAACCCGTGTCCCTATGGACATGGTAATGGTTGAACTTGACCCTACCCCGGAAGGTAAGGCCATCTTCAACCTAAAGAGGGTCTGTGGGCTCAGTGACTTAGTCATCGAGCCTCCGCGTAAATCAGGTGTAGTGGCACAGTTCCACAACTGTCAGCATTTTGGCCACACGGCCAATAACTGCTTCGATCATCCAAGGTGCGTCAAATGCACCGGTGACCACGGCACTACCGAGTGCACGCGGCCGAAAGATTGCGCAGATCCACCGTACTGCGTAAACTGTAACGCCACCGGCCACCCGGCTAGCTACAGAGGCTGCGCTAAGGCCCCGAAAACTCCCGCGAGAAAATCTCCCGCGAAATCCACGTTGCCCAAACCCGCGCCCGTTAATTTCATTCCCGCGCCCGTACCCGTCACAAACGCCTGGGCGAAACCCCAGGTGGCCGCGAAGGTAACCACGCTGGTAATCCCGGTCGCCTCACGACCGATCGCACAACAGCTGCCCGCCTCTCAAACGGCGCCGCGGCCACAGGTGCAGCCAACTCCGTCAGTTTTCGCGGAAAACAAGGACGACCCATTCGCGCAAATCGCAAACATCTGCAGCCTATTAGACAGGATCAATAGGCAGAAACTCGCCGTATTGTCCGCTAAAATAGCGGCCGCCTCATCTGGCAACGAGCGTCTTAGGGCAATTTGCCAACATAAAACGCTTGTGGAAGCCCTTTGAGCTTTTACGAGCCAACCATAAAAGACAATAGTCCGCGCAATAAAACCGCGCTCCGCCGCGCCGTTAACTAGACCCATATAACACCTTAATTGGAAGTACAACCACAGGTAGAACAAAACCTCGGGCTCTGGTTGTTTCGTATTTC